CGCGGCTCTTGCTCCAGCCTGGGCAGGAACTGGCACTCTTCTGCTGCGGGCGGGATGTATTCCTAATGGCCTGTGGCTCTGGCGCCTGCAAGGTGGAAGTGTTTGCCCTGCGGGGTGGGCAAAAGCCGAAAGAAAGTGCCCCGCCGCTTCTGTCTGACATAGAAGCGTCCCACACCCCGCAGACATAGCTGCGGGGTGTGGGACACCTCTATTTCGGACATAGCTGCTGCGGGGCAGGCAAAAGCCACTTTCTTTCTTTTTGCCTCACCAGCCATAAGCTTTACCGCACGTTACTGGGTGAGGCCCTGCCTCCCCTGACTGCACGTCCCTGCAGGACCTCCTGGGCCAGAATGGCACCACTAGGAGGATCTCTGCTCCCTCTGACAGTAGTTTGGACACCACTTGCGGAATGAGAGGCAGAGGGGGGGGAAATGCGTACAACAGTCCTGTGGGCCACCTGCACCTCAGCTCATTTGTCCCCTCCACCCACGGAGAATGATAATGGGAGAAGAATCATGGCAGTTGTGTGTTGGTGTGTGTAGCAAATAGGTCTACTTGTGGTTTGCCAAACCTCCGCACGATCTGCTGAAATAGGTCTGGGTGTAGACGCCACTCTGGGTGGTTGATCTGTTGCCGACTCAGCCAGTCTGCTTCCTGATTGCTGGTTCCGGAAATGTGGTCCGCTCTGAGAGAGGCTAGATGTCATTCTGCCCACTTGCCCAGGGCTTCTGCCTCGATCCTAAGTCCCCTGGAATGGGTACCGCCCTGTCTGTTTATGTGTGCTTTTGTTGCCACATTGTCCGTCAACAAAAGCACATGCTGGCCCACAATCAGTGTCAAGAATCGTTGCAGAGCTAGGCGTGCTGCCCTCAGCTCCAGCCAGTTTATGCTGTGAGCGGCTTCCCTCAGAGTCCACTGGCCCTGGGCGAGCTGGCCTTGGCAGTGGGTGCCCCATTCCAGAAGGCTGGCATCTGTGGTCATCACGACCCTTTCGGGTTCCTTGAACAGGCACCCTTCTTTGACTGCCGTGGTCCTTCACCAGGCTACAGATCGAATTACCTTCTGTGGAAGCTGTACTCGTCTGGAGGAGTTGTTGGTCTTTGCTCTTTGCATCGGGAGAAGGAACCACTGAAGTTCCCTGGCATGAAGATGAGCCCAGAGTACCACCTTCAGACAGGAAATCATGATGCCCAGGAGTTGGGTCAGTTTGACGATCGGCACCGGCCTGGACTGACAGCATTGGCACACTCTGCTCTTGAGATTTGCCAGTCGATCCAGAGACAAGAACACCTGACAGGAGACCGAGTCGATGATGGTGCCCAGGTGTTCAATGCACGTGGTCGGAAGGAGACGACTCTTCTCCATATTGACCGAGAAGCCATGTTGTTGTAGTGTCCAGATGGTCATCTGGACATCTCGTCATGCCTGGTCTGGAATTGTAGAGTGGATAATTATGTCGTCTAGATAGCATTCTAGACAAATGGGACGGTTCCAGAGGTGAGCTGCCACCACTGCCAGGATCTTCGTGAAGGTCCTGGGTGCAAACAAGAGGCCGAAGGTGAGAGCCCTGTATTGGTAGTGCCTCCCGTCATAATAGAACCTGAGGAACCTTCTGTGGGCAGCATGGATGGGGACATGCAGGTAGGCTTCTTTTAGATCTATGGATGTCAGCAGATCTCCCTGTCTCACGCAATCCAGGATGGAGTGGAGGGATTGCATCTTGAACCTTTTGTAAGCCAGATGCTGATTCAGGCTTTTCAGGTCCAAGATGGCCCTCCACCCCCCCGCCCCCGAATTCTTCGGGACCAGGAACAGAATCGAATAGAATCCCTGCCTCTCCTGTTCCCTTGTGACGGGTTCTATGGCCTCTATTTGGAGAAGATGGAGGATCTCCACCTGCATGAGCCCCCTCTTTATGGAATTCTTTGTGGTCGGATAACGAATGAACTTCCTCTGGGGAAAGGACAGAAACTCTAGGACCAGGCCCTTCCTGATTGTATTGAGGACCGACGAGTCCAAGGTGATCCCCTCCCACCTGTCGGCGTATAGTTGGAGCCGACCTCCTATGGGAGGGATCCTGTGATGGTCACTTCCCCCTAGGGAACTGATGGGAGTTGTTGTTATTGCCCCCACGAAATGGCTTCCAAAAGGAATGCTGCTGCTGTCTGCTACGTGACACGAAGGAGTTCCTATCCTGAGTTCTATTGCCCCCTTGGTTGTAGGACCTCTGGTATGAGGAGGAGGTGGACACTTGAGTAGCGTCCTGGTTTCAAAAGGATTGCTTACGAAAGGAACCAGAGCTCTTACGCTCATTCTTCTTCAGGGTGACTGGGAGAATCTTATGCTTATCCTTTGTCTCAATGACAAATTTATCCAAAGCCTCCCCGAACAATTGACCACCCTTGAAAGGAGCGGAAGCCAGCTTCCACTTCGCCTTCATATCCGCCTGCCAGTGGCGAAGCCATAGGAGGCAGCGAGATGTTATGTTGGACGCCAATGCCCTGGAGGCAAACTTCGCTGCATTCAGCGAAGCATCAGCTGAGTACTCAACGGCCATAATGATCTTGCTGAGATTGTGGCGCCACCGAGAGCCCCGGGAGGGGGGCTTGGATCTAAGCTGCCTCAGCCAGAACAGGGAGGCTCTGGTGAAAAAGGATGCCGAGGTGGATGTCCTGATGGCCCAGGCGGCCGCCTAATGTGTCTTATGACATGCCTTCTTTGACCTTTTGTCTTCGGCTTTTAGGTCTTCCAGAAGGTTGGCTGGTAGGTTTGAATTTGAGGTCAAAGATACCACCGGGGCATTCACCTCAGGCAATTTTAAGACATCTTCCATCCTCCCCTCCACAGAATAAAGGGATTTATCCCCTCCGCTGGGTTGGTTAAAGTATCGGGCTGAATCCACTGTCTTTGGACTACGTCCATGAAGAGATCTGGAACAGGGATAAGTTCCTGAGTGGGAGCCGTCTCCTTGAAAAGCCCTTCCTTGGGGTCTTTGGAGGAAGAGGCCGGTACGGCATCAGCTTTGGGGGTAGAGCCTAGCTCGGTTACCGCCTTGGCCTTGTGGAGTATGGATTTAAACAAGGAAGGCTTGAACAGGCCTGTAAAGGCTGGCTTATCTGGAGGAAGATCCTCATCCTCCGATAGGTCGAACTCATCAGCCTCCTCGTTCTCCCAGGCAGAATCTTCCGTGGCTATCGAAGTGTCCGGTGAGGCCGGTGCCTGGGTAGCAGTGGCCGCAGGAGACTGCTTGGCCTTAGAGGAACCTGGCTTGTGGGATTCCTTCTGCCTAATGCCCTCCACTATGCCTTGGGAGATGGCTAAGGAAATCACCTCCCTCATTTCTGCGGATAAGGCGGGACCCTTATTCTCCTTTGGGCAATGTCTGCTGGAAGGCAGATGGCCTTTGTGCCTGCCTGAGGCGGACCCTTCGTCCACAGGGAGCATGCCCTGGAAGGGCTCCAGTTCTTCCCGAGAAGATAGGGTACTTTGGGTACCCCCAGGAGGCATCCGGAGAGGGCTCCCTCGAATCCCCCTCCCTTATGGATTGGGACCCACTGCCCTGAATGGAGGGGGAATCTCTTCCCCCACCATGATCATATGGGGGCCCAGGTGGAAGGTCCCCCTGCTCAGGGGGAGACAAGGACCTGTGGGCATGCGGGGCCTTTGCCTCTGCGGACTTATGCTGTTGGGAACTCCCTCTGGCCTTGTCAACGGTCCCCAAGGGCCCCAGGGAGGACTTTCTGGTGGTGCCCTTGCCCCCTTTTCCCCGCTTGGGTGGAGGATCTAGCCTACTGCGTTTGTTGGACGCCCCTGCCTGCACCTCCTGCGCCTCCAAACTGTCATCAGCCATGCTGCCCGTAGGCCTTGGATGGTGGGGAGGGCTCCCGGGCTCTTTGCTGGACTCACAGCAAGTGGACACCAGGCGCTAGCCAGCTGGCTCAACTGCGCCCGCAGATCTTCATTGAAGGAGAAGGCCGCCCGAAGAACAGATCCCTTCCTCCGACTTCCCTCAGGTCCCCAAGTGGTGATAAGCTGGAGGGCATGACTAGCCAGCACCCCGGACTAGGCCCCGCACCTCACGGCGATAATCTGTAGCTGAGAGGCAACGTACACGACCTTCTCTCTTCCTGGCTCCAAACGCTCTCCACGCGGCTCCTTCGCAAGTCAGAATGAAGAAAATGGCAGCTGCTGCACGCGCAGCCTCCCCCCACCAAAACCGCCAGTCAACAAGGAGAAAGTGCGCGAATTCACCAAAAATGGCCGTCGCTGTTGCCGGGCACAAAGAGAGCGCCGGCGATGTCGCTGAGGCACTGATTGCCGGCGCGACACCGAAACTCAGCGGCTGGGGGGTTCTCGGAGTCGGGAGGCCTCCCACCCCCCTCGCTCGCTAGCAGCCGCTGGCCAAGCGACTCATGCATTCCGACCCCCACTTGCAACCAGCAGGGAAGAAACAGCCCGGGAAGCCTCTCAGGAATCACATATCTCAGTTGGCATAATTTAGTTCTTATCCGGTAATATGTAATGCAAAGTGGTCAAATTAATCTTGGGGAGACCAGTCTATCTGTACTTGGACTGGAGAGCTCCCTAAATTAGTCCTCACGAGCCGACTGAGTTTTTAAACTGAAAATAAGGAGGCAAAGGGAGGCGTGGTCAAAGAAAAACTCACTCAGTCCAAGGGCAGATAAGACTGTGTTAACCCATGCTTGGACTCTCCAAGCAGCGCACTGGAGAATAGGATGAATGTTGCAATGTCTCTGTGGACATTCACAAGGATGAATGACTGCTGTGGTGCTGCAACATTTGTAATTTCAGGCCTTTGTCGTAAACACTTGAGGGGTGTTATCGTGCAACTTCAAATGGTTACTAAGTGAACTATTGTAACTCAAGGATTACCTGTACACACAAAACTAAGAGACATAGGAACTATGGAGAATTTCCTCTGAAAACATGGTATACTTGATTTAACTGTTTGTGGCAAAGAAATGTTGTAGAATACAAACCTGCATTTGTGCTTGTTCATCTGCATATTCAATTGATTGGAAATAGTCAGGGAATATCGACGCCTCATTTCTAGCCGGGCCATGTAAGACCGATACCATCTTTGAATAAGGATAGCTGCTTTAATAGCTGTCAAAACAGGATGTGCCCCCAAAATAAGATTAATTGGCCACAACTAATTAATTATGCAGATTTTTGACTCGAATTTTAAAATGAATGAAATTAATGGAGCCCTGTATTTCATATTTGTTTCTCTTACATGTATTTCTTGTATTTCTTGTAAAATGCAGAAGGGTGATCATTAAGGTTATAAATATCACTGCATCTCAAACACAATGGTAATTTTGTTGTAATTTGTAGGTGGTGTTTGAGATCCCATGACTTTTTGTATCAGTGTAAAAAATAGATACACAGATTGGCAGATAGTACTGAATAGATATATGATTAACACAGAGTCTTAAGGCTTTCATTACCTGACTTTTTGTAAATGAATATTTCTAATTTTTCAAACCTGAAGACATTAGTAACCTAAACAATGTGTACTATGTGTTTTAATAGGTGCTAACAATTATAGAAATACCTAGCTAAATACACTGTAAGCATCATTAAATTCAGCCCTACCAAAACTAAATGTTGCTACTGTGTAGAACAAAATTTAAGAGGCATACAGATGTTATCATATTAAACAAGTTGTAACCTGCTCTATACTACGACAGACTTGTCAGAAGGATGTGTTGCCCTTGGAGCATTACTCTTACCATTGCTCATAATTTCATTATTCCAATTCTCATTCAAATAGAAATACTGCTTTGTTATTAAGATGATAAATCAAGACTCAAGGGATCTTTTCAATGATACCCACCAAAGCACTTCCCAAGAGGAATTGCCCATATTCAATATGTCTGAAGGAGCAAACTGAAAGATTCAGAAGACAGCAGGTACTTAAGGTACTGAAAATTCATATAAATATCTGGTGTTGAAGGGAAATATTGTAATCACATATGATATGATCTGAAATATATATGTTAGAGAATGAAATTCTAAACTATTTGAATGTGACTAGGACCTTGCATTCACCTCTTCCAGTACTCAGCGACTAGTATAACTTCCTCTTTCTAAAATATATTAGTTTCATGATCCTTTTACTTTTCCAACCTTTGATTTTGTTGTTTTCTTTGGCTATTAAAGCTTTCCTGTCTTATCTGTGCTCAACTCAGATATTTCATTTCTCAGTTGAGTTGTTACAATCATTTCCCTTCTAATACACACTACAAGCCTCACTCTACAATATGCAGATGCTACCTGGGATGAAATGAAAGCATTCAAATTAACGTTAGAGGGATAATGGACATAAAGGATATCAAAAAGAAAATTAATCTTCCTCCCTCGTACAACATTTGGTGTCCATATAAGCAAACATATGTATATACAGTAACTTCCTACAAAATCCTTATAGAGTATCTCTTCATGCATGCTTTTCCTTCATAAAGGCAACAGACATCCTTGGAATGGCTAGATCAGGCAACAAAATCCTCATGTATACCTTTAGAATGAGAAGAGATTCCATTGAAATCTTCTTTGCTTTTTTCCTCTCCCTTTCCAATAGCTTTAGAGTCAGCAGGTGTAAATATGGGACCCTTTTTCTTTGTACTGGTGACTACATTTGCAAAACATTTTTTTTTGTAATAGTGAAGCTATATTATTATAATACATTTATTTTGTTATATGAATAAAATAAATGCAATTTCAATATAAAGTATTACAGAATATGAAACTGAATAAAAATTCAACAAAATCCAGCAGGTTACTGTTTACAAGCTTGCTCTTCTTTTTCCTTTGTACATCTTATTTTCTATTTTTATTATACTATTATTTTAAAAGTTTTTTTTTCTATCATATACTTTTGTAGTGCTTGCTGTGTGCTTATTGAAAGATGCAGGATATGAGTGTTTCAGGAAGTGTTTCAGGAAGTGTTTCAGGAAGTTAATGAATTTTCACTGCTGTTCTTACAGTTACAATTTTTCCAGGGGTGTTTTTTTTTGTAACTGCTTCTAATTTTATTATACTATTTTTATCTCACCCTCCTTGTTAGATACCTAACAGTAGTATAAATTACCAAAAAGGCAAACGGAAGAAGATGATAAATGAGTGCAATCCAATTCTACTTGAACCTATTCAAAGGTTTGGCAAAACTCACTCCCAGGTACAAAGGAACCATGATGAGGAAGATTGATTAACAGAATTGAATCTTTAAACAAAGTTCAGGACATCAAGTAAAAGCTCCTGATTCTTGATCTTAATGTGCCTTCCATGTCAATGATTCTCAACTTTTTATATCTCACATCTCACCAATTTCTTTGTACAAATGCTGGATCACATTCAAAATAAGGTATGAAAACAGAGAGATGGGTCTATCTAATAGTTATATATTTACACACAGACATGCACAAACAGCATATAAAATAAATGACAAAGCACATGCAAATTGTACAACCACAAATTTACAGATTAAGAAACAGTGCAATAGGATTTCTTGTTGCCATAGAATGATTGCATTACACAAGCATGTTTTACCTTGTTTTGATTTACTTGTTTGGCTTTTTGTACCAGAAGTGCCACATCCCATGACTCAGTAAAGTAAAGGCTGGATTGCTGGTTTAAATTGTCCTTATTCTGGATGAATTATTTAGCTGATAGCGATCCAACTGCACCTCTTTATATTAATGACAATATGCTGTAATGAATCAGTTCTTCATTTTCCTTAATAAAAAAGAATGCAATGAACATTGATTTTCTATTGTCAGCTTAAGGCACAATACAACATAATTGCCTGAGTCATCTGTACATCAGTGAAAGTAGGAGGGTTCACTGGTCTGTAGCTATTGTCCTGTCAGCTTAACACCGATGACTCTCTTTACATCCCAGGATCATTCAGGCAGAGAATTGTCATCCAATTATTGAGGGAAAAAGTTCAATACAATTATATACATATGGGCAATGGATTGCTTTCTTAATTATTTTTTCATCTATCCCCAAAATGAGGCATTTCAGTAGGATGATTAATGAATAAATGTAACCAAGGCACATAAAAGCAGGAATGAGCAACCTGTGGACCCAGAGTCACATGGGCCTCTGAGTCTTATTTTTCTTGCCCTCAGAGATCCTTGACTATATAACTGCTGAAATTTGATAGCAGTTTCCTACCATTTTGTAATGCAGGCATTTCACAGTTTTTTTTTCAAAGCTCCAGAAATGAATGTCAGATATGCCCATACTATTTGCTGATACTATTTGCCATCTGTTTTATAAGCCTCATATCTCCCCACCCACCCACCCACCCACCAATATTAAGCTTTACTCACAGCTGGAAAGAAATCCCTCACCAATATCAGATTTAGGCAGTGATGGGATTCAAATAATTTAACAACTGGTTCTCTGCCCTAATGACTGGCTGGGTGGACGGGGCCAGGTGGGTATGGCCAGGGGGCAGGACAGCACTCAGCCTCCTGCAGCACTCTGCTACTCAAAACGGGACACGGGGGTTAATTATTAAATGTGGGCTTTGCTTTGTGACATCCAGATCCAGCGAGCACCGTAACCACGGTTTGCATGTTGGAAGTTCCTAAAAGAATGCTGGGAAACTCTGTATTTTAAAGAACATTTAAGGGAGGGGTGCAGAATAGCCCTTCTCTGCCTGAGGCTGTAGAAACCCTGCACCAATCAAAACACTTTTTGTGAAGCACCTTTTTGTGAA